TCTTTCAAGTGAAATTGGAGATTCTGTATTGAATAATTATAAAAATGTTTTACTACTAATATTTTACTATTTTTAATATTAAAATTAAGTTCTGATTATTTCTTTCAACTCTGCTCTATAATATGATCACATTATAGTTATTTTGTTGACCCTATTAGCCACAAATTGTAGAAAGCAGGCATTCTTTAAATATTAGGAGAAAAATTTCATTGAATAACATCAGCTGAGATCATGCCTTTAATATAAAGAAAGTGCTTCCTATATTGCTTTTGAATGCTCTATCAGATGGAAGGCATATTTCTGATGAAAAGAATAAATTATCATTTTTAGTCAATACATGAGAAAGTGATGCAATATTGACAAGACATCTGCCAGCAGAATCCTGTTGTCCACACTTCCCTGAACTACATTCTGGTACAATACAACTGGGGGCAGTGCTGCCTTTCTACAGACATGGATGACAAGAGTCCTAAGAAATGTCCAGCCCTTGTCCTCACAAGGATAGAAAATAAAAAAATTCAAATAGGAAATAAAAAATACTACTGGGCTTGCATTTTGAAGAACAGCTCTGTCTTGCCTGTATTTTCTAATGTAATGACCTGATGGTTGTAAGAGTGGTAATTTCTTTTTAAGCTGCCTTTAATTGACTGCTTTGAATTGATCAGGTATTCAATAAGGTACTTTTACATCATTATCTTATTTAATGCTCTCCACAAACTAATTATGTAATCATTATGCAGCTTCTCAGGTATGGCTTCTGAAACTCTGGAGGATTCTCTATGTTCAAGTCACGGAACTGCCAGGTTTTGAGCTCTAGAACACAGTTTGTTTTTCTTGCGATGCTGGGGTCTCTTTGATGAGGATAGTCTTATGCATGTGAACTGCTAAAATTTTTACCATTAACATCAAAATACCTTCAAGCTAAAATTTCTAAAATCTCAACATTTGCTCACACTCTGAAAAACACCCCTGTATCTAAATGGACACACAGTTGATATATCCTTTGGGGATGACATTTTCTCTATGTTTTAAACTTCTTTTTTTTTTTCCCAAATACTTATCACTGAAGTAAATTTCTTTCTCTCAAAGGAGACTGGATGACTGATTAAGATTCACTAAGGGCCGTGGGTGTTAAACTAAACCAAGACAAACAGTGAATGGAATCATGGTTTTGCCTACGTAATTAAATAGGGAGTTGCATCAAATGGCTTCTAACAATCTTCAAGCACTAGTAACCTTTCTCCAGCAAAGTAGTATTTTCCCAGACAACGACACTCATCCTGCTTTTGAAAAAATGACCTGTCTTCTTCATTAGAAACTTCATATCCTATGGGCAGATGTAAGTCTACATCTTGTTCGTTAGCACACACCTCGTAAAGATCACAATGGCTACATACTATTTTCTCAGAATTCACCAAATAAATAAAGTGAATTGAAAAGTCTGTAAGCTGTACAGAGAAGTAATTAATTGGAATATCACAAGAATTTATACAACTGCTTAACGGTCAAGGAAACATCACAATAGAAAGATCTTGAAACACCATTTGCCAATCCACTACTAACTTAACTTTCCCCAGAAACTAACATGATTTCCTGCAGACTCCCCTCTCTCCACCCCTCTGCACAACCCAATCTACTGTAAGTAATGGTACTATTTAAAAATTGGGCATGATATATACCATTCATTAGCTACAGTCCATATAACTCTGGCTTAGTATCATCCCTAATTTCATTGCTGTCAGGCTCTGTATTTAACACGTCCGGTCCTAATAGGCTAAAACAACCAATTAGCCCTCCTAGGCACAGCATGGTTTCAACATTCATTCAGTTAGAGGATAAAAGCAGAGGTAACTATTTAACTCAGAAATAAGGTATAATAATAATTTTAAAAATATTTAGGGCCTCCCTGGTGGCGCAGCGGTTGAGTGCTGGGCTGCGAAGCTGCCCACAGCCTCTGCAGCGCCGGTTCGATCCCGGGCTGCCAGCGAGGGTCCCACATGGCGCGCAGACCTCTCCTGCCGCCCACTGCTCCCCTCAGCAGTGTACTTCTTCAGTCTGCCTGTTCTGCTCCCCACTCTGGCTCTGGTGAATTCTCTCACCCTCCCGCGCTTCTGACTGTACCCAGTGCTTGTATAAATTTAAAAAAAAATAAATATTAAAAAATATAATGATTTAACATATATCTTTCAATGAACACAAATCCTTCAACTTGTGAGAAATTCAGTTCATTTCATTATCTTTCAAACCAACCAACAAGCATAGAGTTTATAGAACACACCCAGAGCGTGCAGGACAGATGTTCTGCAATAGAAGGTGGCCTGGGGAGAATCTCTGCATAGTTGATGAGGTTTTTCCCAAAAAGGGGATATGGGTAAGTAGAAACAAATTTTGCTGTTCCCTCTCTTTGATATTTACTTAATGGCAGATATGACGCTACGTAGATGCTGAATGATAGCAGAAGTTGCCACCTCAAAATCTGTCGTTTTGCATTAGACACTATTTTAGGCTAATTATGACACAGCAGAACAAGAATTTCTTAAAACTGAGTAGAAGTTACCCTTTTGAAAGAGACATTTACATTTGTAGCATCAGCTCTCTCTCAATTCTGGAAAAGGAGATTGAATCAAATCCCTAGAAACTCTTATTGATGGAAAAAGCAGGACATAAATCCGCAGAAATCATACTCTCATTTACTGAGCTTTCCCTGCTAACGAATCAGAGCTGTTTCCCTATCCCCTCAGCATCTTTCTTTTGCCTTTAGCTGAAGACAGTATTTAAGGTGATGGCATGGACCATTTGGGAGGGTTACTCAGTTTCCATGGGTATTTCCCAGGTATGTCAGAATTATACACACTGTTAAACTTCTGTTTGCCTTTCTCCCGTTAACCTGTGTTTTATGATAAGAGTGTCTCACACAATAAACTAGAAGGGTAGAGGAAAACTTATCTTTTCTCCCCATAATACTCTGTATTCATTATCATGTAAAATCTTCGCTTTTTACAGTTGATGACACTGAGCTTTATTCCATTTTTAAGCTGTTTCTGAATTGCTTGTTTAACATTTTGCCTTTTCATTCAGACTAAAGACTATTTCTTTTGAGTAGAGTGTTTATTCTGACAGGCTTCTTTCAAGATTCTTCCCTAATGTTTTTGTTTAAACCATGTAGAAATCCAGAAATTGAAAGTGTAATATCAGATTAGCCTTTGCAAGACTGATACTTTCAAGCAGTTTTGTAACCAGAGAGAATACAAGAGCAAGACATCAGATACTTTAAAAACCATGAATAGTTTAATCTGTAAATTGCTTTTGTGGCTAAGGTTACATTTTCATGAATCTAAAATATAGTTGCCCCGCCGATGCCAGCAACACTTAACATTCACACCAGCGACTTCTCAGAGATACTGTTTAAACACAAAGATTTTCTAATGATACCACTATTGAGTCTATCTTAGTGCACTCATTTGATGCTTCCTTTCACTAAAATAAGAATAATAAATTCTATGAATCCTAACAATACTTAGTTATGGTTTTAGTATTCAACGAATGCAATTTATAATTTGTTTTTGTTGAAGATTAAAAGTAATAAATGAAAATTCCACTTATGCTACAATTAATTTGCAAAAGAATGGAAATGAAGAATCTCTGCCTTCAAAGTATTTGTAATTGTGTATACACAAGATTCTTCAACTCATCCTTTTATCTTCTTGATAATAATAAAACACTAAAAAGTGATAGGAACAAGTGAGCACTTCAACTAAACAGTAGGCATAATAAAGACTTTTAAGACTCACTTACAAATAAAATATACTTTACCCCCTCAGTGAAGTATTCCCTATGCATTTCTGGGAACAAGCTAACATTAAAGCCCCACTTGTTGCATGAATATTGCTCATAGTGTTTCCTAGGGTATGTGTAGATTAACAGACATTAACTCATGCCATTACTTTACACTTAAAATTTATACCCTGGTTGGGTCTCCCTGGTGGTGCGGGGGTTAAAGACATGCTATGAGGCTATCACCAGCCACTAATTTGTTCCCCCTGCCTACCAGAGAACAACCCACATGATGCAACAGACCTCTCCTGTCTTGCCCACTGCTCCCCTCAGCAGTGTATGTCAGTAGATCCACCTGTTCTGCTCCCCAATCTGTCTCTGGTGAGTCCTCTCACCCCCCACCTCTGGCTTATACCCCAGCTCTTGTATGCATAAATAAATAAATCTTAAAAAATACATACCCTGATTATAACCACTGGTAAATAAAAATTTAAATTGAATGGATTCACACAGAGATTCTGATATCATACTATAAAAAAGATTTTAAAATCTATTATTTTTGTGTCTGTTTAGATTGAGTTAAATAATTCTATGACATAGATAAAGAGAAAGATAATATACAACAACTTTTCTGGCCCATGATGAAAAGGAATAAAAGGCAGAATTTCTCTTAAACCCTTCACAAAAGTATTGGAGATCACTAAAGTTTCTTCTGCTTTATGTCTCTTTGTTAAGTAAACAAAATATGCAGTTATTTGTATTAATTTGTTTTCTAATCCAACAGCCTGGATATTTGCCCAGGTTCGATCTCCTCTGCAGCGCCGGTTCGATCCCCGGCCACCAGAGATGATCCCGCATAGCGCGACAGACCTCTCCTGTCGCCCACTGCTCCCCTCAGCAGTGTATTTCATCAGTCTGCCTGTTCTGCTCCCCGCTCTGGCTCTGGTGAATTTTCTCACCTTCCTGCACTTCTGACTCTACCCAGTGTTTGTATGAATAAATAAATAAATCTTTAAAAAAAATGGATAGTTGAAATTAAGATGGAGAAATTCCATACTGTGTTAGTTTTACCAACTTTGTATAGTATGAGTTATGAATATATGTATATATAGATTTAATTGTCAGTAAAATAAGGGCTTATGATAAAAAATTGGACTTCAAAATAGGATTACTGATATTTTATCCTTCCTAAAACAATAGTAATAACTTGTCTTATTGGCACTTACCCTTTGTCATATCAGGTTATTTTGTGACTATGTCTCTGGCTTGGGGGTTAGTTTTCAGCTGTGCATTAATCTTTCTTTTCCTCATTCCATTTAAAGTTATACCTTCCCCATTAATATTTGACTCAAGATATCTTCTTCAGGATGCCTTGATGTAGATTAATTTGCCTGCAGAGAGAAAGCAGACGCAGATGCTTCTCTGACTTCTGAGTTCACACTTTTAAGAATAGTGAAAGAGGTTAACAAGGTGCAAGTATATAAGCTATGTCATCGGTCTGGAATCCATCTGCTACTGCAGTTTATAATAAAGTAAAACTCAAAAAGTCAAGTGTGCAATTTGTTGTTCAAGTCTGCTTGCTGATTTAATTTAGGTAATAAGAACAATTAAATTTGTTATAGCCATCCTACTCTGATTATTTTTTGATAATTTTCTAATTCAAATTTTAACACCGATATTCCTATAGAAAAGGGACAATAATGCTGTCTAATATATGTGGTAAAATGTTACAAAATATTAAATATTCTAAAAGGGGAGTGTTTGATAGAGAATATGACATGGTGTTGCGCTGAAGACAAGGGTTATGTTTATGCTAACCCTGAATGGTAAGCCTGGGAATTTTATGACATTTTTAAGGCTCAGTTTCTTCCTTTGTAAATTAAGCTGAAAATATTATCTATTTCACAGAATCATTGTGAGGATTAAATAAAAATATTAACAGTTTTTTGAGCAGCAACTGGCACACAGCACTATATATAGCCTGATGGTGATGCTGATGGGAATGGGAGTAATAACCAAATGGTGGCATTCATAACAGTGATAAATAGTCTTCATTGTTTAAAATCAGTCTTTATAATTGGCTATTTGAGTAAAGCTTATTGAAAACTTCATATTTTGGGTAACTTGAAGGCAGTGTACGTCTGTATGTTTCCTAGAATTGCCCTGATGAGTGTGGTTGATACACAGAACATACTCAGTAAATGATGGGCCGCCTTTTGAGATCAGAAACTGCCCATCCATCTCCATTTTCTGCCCATCCCCCTAACCAATGGCATTGCCCTGTAAACATGGCATTGCCCTGTACTTACAACTAAACTAAAATGATCTAAGAAGTCAGAAAATTTGGGGGAAATTTCCCTTCTTGCAAAGGTCCAGATAATGACTTTCTTCTATATAAAAAATCTCAGAGAAAATGTTATACACTTATGAGACAAATTATAAATTGTAAAAGTCTCATTTCCAAAACTTTGTCTTTACTGTGGCATGCTTCTTAATGCAGCAAATACAAGTACACAGTGACACAGGAGTCTGGCCCAGAGGTCGGAGCTAAGAGTCCATACTTAGGAGACAAACGTCTCGGCAACATTCAAAATAGAATTAATGATTTAATTCTCCTGATGCACACTGAATGTAAAATTTGTTTTACAGATAAATTCTAAGAGATTAAACTGTTAAACGTTTCCACAGTTTTGCAAAATGGCTGTGATTTTTAGCATAGTGAGTTGTATACATATTTATTGCTTAAAATCCTCGTCTGAAAAACTAGAGGCTGGCAAGGAAAGGGAAGACACTCCAATTCCTGGGGCTCTAAGTTATGGAAATCATTGTAATTTGAAATAGTGTCATTCAAATGAAGGGGGTCTCTTTGGTGGCATTTTTCCTGGGGTTCATCTCCGTGCCACACAGAAGTCTGAGGGAACCCCTTTTTCCCTACTCGTCTTTGTCTTCCGCAACTGAAAATTATCACAAAAGATTGCATGCATCTCAATAGCTAAGGGGAAACCCAGCTATTTAAAAATTAGACAAGATGTATATTACTAACAGGTTTCTGGAAGTTTTACATGTATTATTATATGAACCAAACTGTTTTGAATGTACACGGAATTCATTAAAAAAAAGGGGGGTCTCCCTGGTGGCTCAAGGGGTTAAGACTCAGCACTACGAATTTATCCGCGGCCACTGCAGCACAAGTTTGATGCCCAGCCAGGGAGCTACCCTCATGGTGCAGCAGACCTCTCCTGTCTCCCCGCTGCTCCCCTCAGCAGTGGATTTCAGTCAATCCACCTGTTCTGTTCCCCACTGTGTCTCTGGTGAGTCCTCTCACCCTCCCACCCCGACCTCTAGCCTATTCTCCAGTTCTTGTATGCATAAGTAAATATTTTTTTTAAAAAGTAATGAAAGGGATGACTTATTCATTAAATTTAAATAATATTTGTAAAATGTGCAGCTCACTTTCTAGAAACAAATTTGCGTAATCTGCTTGTTTTTTATTACCATGTATCTGCCTCAGAAACTTCTTAGATTAGGTTGTTAGAGGAGAAAGTATAAAATTGCTGATTCACTACTTTTCTAATAATAAACTGTGACGAGTAACTATAAACGATTATCAGGGAACAGAGTGAGCAACAGCTATAATGAACACAGAGGGGGTACATCTCCAAAATAGCATGTGCCATATGTACGCACAAAACCAATTATGCAAGTAATGTACACATCACTCATGCCATGTTTCGCAAATCAGCAAACCCTTTAAAGTTGCTTCTAATGAGAAGTTTGCTGATTGTTGCCCAGGGAAAATTAAGGAGGCTTGAGTAGGACTTTCTAGGGGGATTTACAGTTGCTTCGTCCCTTCTATGCCCACTCCCTCCCTCCCTGTCCACTTCTCTCTGTCTCTCTCTCTCTGTGTCCTCTCTTTAAACACCAAGAAAAATATTAATTGGGAAAATATATTTAGAAGGCTCTTATCCCATAGTTAGGACTCACATCAGGTATCTACTGCATTAGTTATAGGCTCTTCCATGATTCCAGAAATATGAAGCTAGTGTGCCTGTCTTTCAAGAAAAAAATAACAAGTACATTCATTTTTCACCTACAAATTCATTCTTAGAGCTGTTTTCACCTAGTGCTTTAACCATGTCAGTTCCTCTGCAAACGCTAAAGGAATTTCCCATGATACATGTTCTTAAAATTGAGAAAAATAAAACAAGACCACATCATTTGTGAATTGAATTTAAATTTTAGCTGTCTCGCTTGCTGCCAAGAAACTCTACTCTACTTTACAACCTGAGGTTACTATGTATATTCCTTTAATCCCCCATTACAATGTGATTTTACTATGTATGTGATCTCATCATGCTATTTATCACTCTTTATCACTCTTTTTGTTACTGTTTGCTTAAAAGTTTGTTTTGGGAACTAGACCTTGAGCAAGGCTATACTTTTATTAATTAAGATATTCCATCACCTTATTACTCCTAGGAACTTTAAATGTTTGGTAAGAGAACAAGACTTCAACATTAAAAATGTATTACAATGAAATTGATTTCGCTGGGAGGATATAGATACACTATGGGATACTACTAAGAAATAAAAACAAAAAAGAATTCCTGCCTTTGTGACAATACGGATGGACTTTGAGTGTATTTTACTAAGTGAAATATATCAGACAGAAAAAAGAATCAATATATGATTTCATGTATATGTGAAATTGAAAATGATAGAACAGAGAAGAGATTGGTGGTTATCACAGGAGAGGGGTTTGGGGGGATGGTGAAATGGGTGAAGGCACAAGAGGCACAAACTTCCAGCTATAAAATAAATGAAGTTATGGCAATATCACATACATCCTGGAAACTACCGTCAATAATACTCTATCACAAACTTGAAAATTGCAAAGAGGAGGTGGTAAATAGACATATCACGGAGATCCTTTTGCAATGGATACAAATATTGAATCACTAACTTGTGTATCTGAAACTAATACAATGTTGTATGTCAATAATACTTCAAGTAAAAAAGAAATTGAAAATGATATTTTTCTGTAGATTAAAGAAAGTGCATAACAGTTCCAAATTTAAGAGGCAAAAGTATCTTCCAGGCATTTATTTATTTTTTTTTAAAGATTTATTTATTTATTTATTTATATTTATTTATTTATACAAGCGCTGGGTACAGTCAGAAGCGCGGGAAGGTGAGAGAATTCACCAGAGCCAGAGCGGGGAGCAGAGCAGGCAGAAGGACCGAAGTACACTGCTGAGGGGAGCAGCGGGCGGCAGGAGAGGTCTGTGCGCCCTTCCAGGCATTTAAACATATACTTTAAGTGCTATGTTTACTCAGAAAATCTAAAGGTGTCTGCAAATACGTTAGAAATTTTAAATAGATATTAAAAACCTCTATGATTGTCCTCCAAAACCATAACTCCATTACCGTGAAGAGAGAAACATCAAACAAATCTCAATGGGGAGATATTTGAAAAAAGACCCGATCAAACACTCTTAAGAATGTTAAGGTCACCAAGAAGAAGGAAAGATGAAGAAACTGTCATACCCTAGAGGATGTTAGCCTTGGTCATCAGAATTCTAGGCTTAAATATTGACGTTGTACCTTCTGAGTTATTTAGATTTAGGAAAGGTGCCTAACTTACTCAATTTTGGCATCGGTAAAGTTGGACTGAAAACACCTAGTCGAAGTTTTCAAATCAAATGAAATACTCTAAGGAAAGACTTAGCAAAAGCTTAGAGGTACTAAATAGATTCTGCTACTCTTTTTTTCCCCTCCTTCAGTACAGCACCGGAGTGTTCATCCATTCTAAAGTGCTAAAGGATGTCATTAGGTATCTGATAGCCAGCTGCTATTTATAATTTTTCTCCCTTATTGAAATAACATATGAAAGGTACCCTATTGTTTTAGTGTTGGGCTGTTTCTCTATTGAAGCCTTAAATCTGTATTGAATTTATGACAGAAGTAACATTCCAAAAAAGGCTCTCTAATTAAGAAACTTCCACAGTTTTATTTTGTTATTTACTCTATAGGTTCATATAGATACCTAATTTTCTAATGCTACTAATGGTAACTTATTTTCCCATACTTCAAATATCTAATGTATTTATTAATTCAGAAGGGAAATATTTTATCTTTTAATGTTAAATTTTAATTTTGAGGATACAGATTGAGGTTTAGAAAGATGGGTTGCAGTTTTATAACCACAGGTGCAACTGATATAGCTGAATATTTACTGAATTTGAAAAATGCCAGAATCAGAATCATCTGGACTTTAGATAATCAGAATTTTCCTATATCTAATTTAGAAACACAGATCACTGTAAGGATTTCAATATCCTTAGGGATATCACACAATTTTTATGCCCTCCATATATGTTTTTCTATATAG